AGTTTAATTACAACGTGTCGTGGTGAGGATCTCCTTTGGTCGTGTTTATTAGGGGTTCTGTGAGCTTCCTGTACTAGGATTTCTCTGTCCTTCTCCAAACCTGGGAAATTTTCTGCTAATATCTCACTAAAAAGGCCTTCTAATCCTTTCTCCCTCTCCATGCCTTCAGGAACTCCTAGAACCCGAATGTTGGTTTTTTTAATAGTATCCTGAAGATTCCTGACAATATGTTTTAGATTTCTAATTTCCTCTTCTTTTCTTTGATCTGACTGTATCCTTTCCTGTTCTCTCTCTTCTAAGTCCGATATTCTCTCTTCTGCTTCACCCATTCTGTTTGTAAGGCTCTCTATTGTGTTTTTCATTTGATCTATTGAATTCTTCACTTCAGTCACTATCACAGTTTCCTGTTGTACTAATTGTTTCGTTTCATTTTGATTCCTCCTTAATATTTCATTTTCACGAGAGAGATTTTCTATCTTGTCCATTAAGGCTTTATGTAGTTCAAGAATTTGTTTTTGAGAACTTCTTAATGTTCTTATCAATTTTTTGAGATCTGCTTCTTGCATTTCTTCTATGTCATCATCTTCATAATCTTGAATTGGGGTGTCTTTTTCATTTGAGGGCGTCATGGTGACTTCCTTGTTTTTATTACCTCGGTTTTTGCATTTGTTATTTGGCATATTGGAGATATTTGGTTTCTTCACTGTGGTGCTTTTTCTTGTTATACTATGACTCTAGATTAAGTGAACTATCTGTTTTTGATGGAGCCTTAGGGCTTGAGATGGGTGTGGCCTGGGAGCTCTGTTTGGTGTCCCAAAGGTGACACTCCCAGGTTAGGAGTGGTAAATCTCTCTTTCTCTCTCTTTTTTTTTGATTCAAAAGGGAAGTAATTCCGCACAGCTGAACGAAGTTGGAGGTAGTTAGCAGGCAAATGATATACCCACAGGAGCCAGAGATCGGAAGCTCTTTCCCAAGGACCACACAGGGAATCTGTTTGGCCCTCAGAGTGGGTTCAAATTCTCCTTCAGTCTCCCACTGGGTTGCCAAAGTTACGGAATTGTAGCGTCTCTGGAGAGTACTCAGGTGAATTCCGTGAGTTCTCTCCCCCACCGTCTCTTTTTTCACAGTCTCAGTTCAGTAGCACCACAAATTTACTAGGTCCTAATCTCCTGTTAATTCGCCCCGCCCAGAGTCAGGGTTTTCTGCTAGGCTCAGGGCCGGTGCAGACCTGAGGTCGCTCTGCTTATGACGTATGTCCAAGATGGCGCCTGCTCTTTGTCTTGCTCGCCCTTGAGAGGTGAGCAGAGAGAGAGAAACCCGTGTCCGTACCAGTCACCTTTTTTTTTTTTTCTCTCTCTCTCTCTCTTCCAGTTAGCCTGGTGAACTTTTTCCCCCCGGGGGTCGTTCCCTCTAGTCTCCTCTCTCTGCTTGCCTGCCGGTGTCTCGGGCTATTGAGGTTCGGCTCACCTCGCGTTCCAGCGCTGGTGTGTTGAGTCTGCCGCTGGTGTCCCGAACTGTGGGCTCCCACGCTCTCCACACAGGTCCGCTGTGAATCACGCGTTCTGGAAGAGTTTCTTCTGCTGTTTCCTCCCCTACTCTTCCTTGAACCTGCAGTATCTCCACTTTTATTAAACTATCTCTCCCCGGACTATCAGTGTGCTCCCTTCCTATTCCGCCATCTTGCCTCTCCGACTGCTGTTTCTTCAAATGATGTTTCTGTCTCCTCCTCTGCATGACTCCATTTACATGTCCAGGCGTAGGTGGTTGCTTGAAGTTGCCCCATGGCTCACTGATGCTGTCTTCATTTTCTTTATAGATTTTTTCTGTTTCATTTTGTATGGTTTCTATTACTCTATTTTCAAGTTCTTTTATCTTTTCCTTTGGAATGTTTTATCTACTATTAATCTCATTCATTTTATTTTTTATTTTAGAAATTGTATTTTTCACCTCTAGAAGTTTGATAGGGGTCTTTTTTTTTTCAACAAAAAGATTGTTTATTTGTTTGAAAGGCAAAATTATAGAGAGGGAATGACAGCAAGAGAGAGAGAGAGAGAGAGAGAGAGAGAGAGAGAGAGATTGATTGATTTCATCCACTAGTTCTCTCCCTGAATGGCTGCAATGGCTGGGGCTGGACCAGGCTAAAGAGAGAGAGAAAGAGAGAAAGATATTTCACCCACTAGTTCACTCCCTGAATGGCTGCAATGGCTGGGGCTGGACCAGGCTAAAGCCAGGAGCCAGGAGCATCATCCCACATGGTTGCAGGGGCCTAAGCACTTGGGCCATCTTTGGCTGCTTTCCCAGACACATTAACAGGAGCTGGATCAGAAGTGGAGCAGCCAGAACTTGAATTGGTGCCCATATGGAATGCTACCTGCTACTCCACGATACAGGCCCCATGATATGCCATCTTGAGATCCCTTTCATTTTTCTACTTAAAGTGTTCAGTCTTCTACCTGTAATTGTTTAAATGTGTGGAATCCAGCTGTAGTAGTTGATGTGATGTACTTGCCGTAGTGTGTTTTAGTGTCTTTTGTTTCTTCCTCATTCTGGGATTCTGGCTTGTATTTCTCGTTTTCTTTGAATGTCTGGTGATTTTTACTAGATGTCAGACAAGTGTTAAGATATAGATACTTTTATAGCCCTAAAAATAATTCTGAACTTTGTTGTGGGACAAAGGTTAATTTATTTGGACGCAATGTGATCATTTTACTCTTTAGCTTTATTAGGAAAGAACTTTTTGTTACAACAGAAATGTGTTTATTCTAGGGTTCATTTCTCTTCACTTGGGACATTTCCTCAAGCGAGGCCCTGTGAATTCTGAAGTTTCCCACTTTGGCTGTTGGGAACAGGGCACTATCCTGGCCTGTATGAACTCTGGGTAATGTTTCTTCGAGTCCTGTTTGGTATTTCTTTACCAGGCTTCAGGGCATTTCCTATTACTCACCAGAGTACTCAGGGAAACCTCTAGAGATCCCTGGGTTTAATTGCAGCTCTCTCCTCTGCTGTGCTTTGCTCTGCCAACTCTATAAACTTTGGGGCATCTACTGGCCTCTGATGTTTGCTTTATAACTAATTGGCAAGGCCACTCCTTACCAACAAAACATCTATTCAAATAGACTTTGTGAGGACAGTTTGTGGTGGAGCAGGTTAAGCCACTGGTTGACAGTGGCATCCCATATCGGAGTCCTGGTTCAAGTTCTATTTGCTCCAGTCTCCTGCTAATGTGTCTTCTACTCACATGGAAATACAGATGGAATTCCTGGCTCTTGACTTGTGCCTGGACCAGCCCCAGCCCTAGGGGCCATCTGGGAAGTGAACCAGCAGATGGAAGATCTTTCTCTTTCTCCCCTACCCCCACTACTCTGTCTCTTCCTCTCTCACTCTGCCTTTTAAATAAACAAATAAATCTTAAAGAATTCCAGAAAAATCTTGACTTCAGTTTAAGAATTCAAAATACTGAGGCCGGTGCTGTGGCGTAGTAGGTAAGCTGCTGCTTGTAGCATCAGCATCCCATATGGGCGCTGGTCCCTGCTGCTCCACTTCCAATCCAGCTTTCTTGTAACGTGCCTGGGAGAGTGGTCCAAGTACTTGGACCTCTGCACTCATGTGGGAGAACCTGAAGAAGCTCCTGACTCCTGGCTTTGGATCAGCTCAGTTCCGACTGTTACTGCCATTTGAAGAGTGAACCAGTGGATGGAAGATCTCTCTTTGTCTCTGCCTCTCTCTATATAACCCTGCCTTTCAAATAAAATAAATAAAGCTTTAAAAAAATTCAAAATCTAATATTAATATAGCTTTTGATTAATACTTTGAAGAAATGCTGATAAATTGTAGAAGCCAGTGCTGTATTATATATACTCGAAACCCAAACAAAACAAATGCTCTATAAACTCTAAAAGTGAACATTATTGAATTCTAATAGTTATATTTAACTTAAGATTTTAATGGATTTTTATCTTTGCAGATTTTTGAAATTTGTATTAAATTGATAAAACTTCATTTCTATTATATTCATAATGTTTCATTATTCACAATATTAAGATAGTGAAGCAAAAACAACAAAAAATAAATTGTGAAGCCTTCTTAAGTTAGTAAAAGTCGACATTGTTAAAATAGTGTAGATCTATTGGAAGTCATAAAAGTGAATTATGTGCCATTTCTCATTGCTAAATTTTTAAGTTCTATTTTGAGGTGAGGAATAGAGTGAAAAGTTTGTGTTCATTTGTTTAATGTGTGTGCATGTATGCATTGGTCTTTTGGAACTACTACCTGAGAAATATCTGTATATATTAATAGCTATTAATTTTGTTAGATGTCATGTTGCATTACTACATGCAAATTATCCAAAAAGGAAAATCTATATTGCTAAAATCTATTCCAACAACTATCCTAGGCATTAACTTTTTACAATAGGTAATAGATGAAATAAGGATTAATCTAATTAGAGTAATTATTTTGTGATAAGTATTCATTAAAGTAGTCTTTATACTTTGTGTTGAGTAATACAGAGAACTTGAAAGAAATCATAGAAGTATGTTTTTCTGTAGTTTGATCCAGTGTCCAATGTAGTTTCAAAACTTTGGTAGTCCTAAAAAACTTGCCAGTTACATTGGGAAGACTTCACTGGCCTTAGAGGTTCTATTTTGAATGAATACTTTATAGTTTCATCTGATGAGAAGGCAGTACAGTTAAATAAATATGACATATTAGTGTGATGTCTTACGTCTCTGAGTTAGAGACAAAGTTAGAATACTTAAAGCTAACATTTACTGTGTTCTTACTGAACATTAGAAGTGTTAATCTAATTTCATCCTTACAACAACCCTGAGGTAGGTACCACTTTTATCCTTAGTTTATTGATGAAAAAACCAGATCTCAGAAAATGTTTTTTCCCAAGTCAAGTCCCAGGGCAGGTAAACAGTGAAGCTGAAATTGGAATTCAGGAAAATCTGCTTTCAAGATGGTGGTGTTAACCACAGTGCTGCACTGCCTCTAAAGCTGTGCTGTTGTTGATTTTTTGGTAAAATGCATTCCAAGGTAGTATTTTTTTATAGTATGATAAGAAATGGTATGCAGGAAAGTTAGGAAATATGTAAGTGCTTGGTAAAGCACTTAGTTGTTTGTAGTAGATAAATGGGTCCTATTGTGTTTTAAGAAAAAGAAGCTTTCAAAGGGAAGTTCTGAAAGGCTTTTCATAATTAAGTTGTTAAAAACACAGGATACAGGCACCCATATTGGATTATGTGCATTTGAGTCCTGTTCTGGATCCCAGCTTCTTACTAATGCATACCTGGGGAGGCAGCAGGTATGATGACTCATGGAGCTGAGTTCTTGCCACCCACATGGGAGGCCTGGATTGGGTTTCTGGCTTCCAGCCATTTGAGTGAACAAGTGGTTGGGAGGTGTCTGTCTCCTTCCCTGTCAAATGAAATAAATTAATTAAAAAAGAAATTACTTACTATTTGCCATTTAAAAAATATCTGACTCTATCTTTAATATCTTTAATCTTTTTTTTTTCAAATCTGTTTTCTAGGTTCTGTGGCAATTGGATATATTCCGACGAAGTTTACGAGTTCTGACTGGTCATGTTTGTCAAGGAGATGCCTGTATATTTTGTGCTTTGAAGGTAACCTTTTAATAGTTTGAAAAACATTATCAATTGCTTCTCAAAAATTTAATTTTTATACTTGACATATTTGATCAGTTGATTTATAAGTAAAGTTCATTTTAAAGTGATGTATAGTTTCGAGGATGAATTCTTGATGTATGATTTATTCAGGTTTGTGGGGTTTTTTTTGTTTTTTTTTTGTTTTTTTTTTTGTTTTTGACAGGCAGAGTGGACAGTGAGAGAGAGAGACAGAGAGAAAGGTCTTCCTTTTGCCATTGGTTCACCCTCCAATGGCTGCCGCGGCCGGCGCACCACACTGATCCAAAGGCAGGAGCCAGGTGCTTCTCCTGGTCTCCCATGGGGTGCAGGGCCATAGCAGAGAGCTGGCCTGGAAGAGGGGCAACCGGGACAGAATCCGGTGCCCTGACCGGGATTAGAACCCGATGTGCCAGCGCCGCAGGCGGAGGATTAGCCTATTGAGCCGCGGCACCAGCCAGGTTTGTGGGTTTTTTAAAAAGATTTATTTATTTGAAAGGCTGAGTTACAGAGAACGAGGTAAGCACACACGCGTGTGCACACACACAAGGAGGGAGTTGGAGAGGGGAGAGCGAGAGCTTCCATTCACTGGTTTATTCTCCATATAGCCACAGTGGCTGTGGCAGATTGATGCCAAGAGCCAAGAACTCCATCCGGGTCTTCCATGTAGATATAGGGGCCCAAGCATGTGGGCCATCTTTTGCTGCTTTCCCAGGCATATTAACAGGGAGCTGGATTGGAAATGGAATAACCAGAAGTGGAGCAGCCTGGAGTCCCACTGGTGCTTACTTGACAGGTAGTCACTGAAAACCTTTTCACCCCACTTTCTTCCATATGGGATGATTGTCATAAAACTGGAATTTATTAAAAGATTTTTCCTGTGATAGGGAGACAGAAGGAGAGTGGGAAGGAGTGGGTGGGAGGGGAAGGAAAAGAGGGAAGGAAGGAAGAAGGGAATATCATTATGTTCTTAGACTTGTATCTACAGATCATATGGAATCTGTTAAAAGCTAATTAAAAATTTTAAAAGTAAATAAAATTTTTCCTGCTTAAATTCAATAAGACTAGAAAATCATATTTACACCAATAATCTCAGGGCCAGCACTGCGGTACAGTGGGTAAAGCTGCTGCTTGTGGTGCCAACATCCCATATGGGCGATGATTTGAGTCCCGACTGTTCCACTTCTGATCCAGCACCCTGCTAATGCTCCTGAGAAAGTAGTGGAAGATGGCCCAGGTGGTTGGGCCTCTGAGCCCATGTGGGAGACCTGGAAGAAGCTCTTGGCCCTTATGTGAGCTCCTCTTAATTTTTATGTGACTAGGACGGCGCCGCCGCTCACTAGGCTAATCCTCCGCCTTGCGGCGCTGGCACACCAGGTTCTAGTCCCAGTCGGGGTGCCGGATTCTGTCCCGGTTGCCCCTCTTCCAGGCCAGCTCTCTGCTGTGGCCAGGGAATGCAGTGGAGGATGGCCCAAGTGCTTGTGCCCTGCACCCCATGGGAGACCAGGAGAAGTACCTGGCTCCTGCCATCGGATCAGCACGTGCGCCGGCCGCAGCGCACCAGCCTCGGCGGCCATTGGAGGGTGAACCAACGGCAAAGGAAGACCTTTCTCTCTGTCTCTCTCTCTCACTGTCCATTCTGCCTGTCAAAAAAAAAAAAAAAAATTTATGTGACTATATGTTAATTTTTGGTCAGCATGATTTTAATTCCTGTAGTATATTTTTATATACTTACTGCAAAACTCTGTTCATTTAATGGCATGCATTAGAGTCATCTGAGGGAATATTTTAAAACTGGGCACACCTCAAGCTTATACAGTCAGAATCTCTGAAAACTCCATGTGTTAAATTCTTACACACATTAACATATGATGTGGAGACTGCTGCAGCTTTTTTTATACTTTACTCATTGAAATAATTGTTTTATATGGAATTTTAGAGTAAAAGACCGTTCCGTATTAGTTTGTGAGTATATTGAATTTCTCTGTGTTGCAATGAAATTTTGAAGTGTTTTTAAAGTTATTGGCATTAAACTTACTGATGTACTTGTTGATTCCCAGACAATATTTGCACAGTTTCAGCACAGCCGAGAAAAGGCACTTCCATCAGATAACATAAGGCATGCTCTGGCAGAAAGCTTCAAAGATGAGCAGCGATTTCAGCTTGGCCTAATGGATGATGCTGCAGAGTGCTTTGTATGTATCTGATAATCCTTCAGAAGTTAGAATAGTAGTTTTCATTGCTTAGGTAGCACTAATTTTGGAACAGTTGAAATAAAAATGTCCAATAATAGAAAAGTATCAGAACTGGTTGGTGCATCTGAGTCTTACCCATTCTGTAAGGCTCAATTTAAATCTGTCTCTTATTTTGGTGATTTGTGCTGCTCTAATTTTTGTTAGGTGACTGAACCTAAAAACTAAAAAACTTTGCAAACTTAAATCACAGTTCTGCCTCTACAGTATTTTCAAGTGCAGCACATTCTCAGCAGTGATATTATCATTTCATGCACTGGTTCTCAAGGAGAGAGAAGGGAATCGTGGTGGGCAGCTATCAGTTGGGGTGATGATTTTGATACCACACGTCAGATTGAGAGTCACTGGGGCTGATGTTCTCAAGCTCCATGTTACCACCATGTTAATAATTAGAGCATTGCTTATACATCTTCTAAAATATGTATGTCGATTATTAAATATCTCAGTAAAATACAAGAGTACTTCATAGAAAAATGGAATAAAAACTAAGCTTATTTTTGTTCAAAAATTTTTTTGATATCTGTATATAGGTTTATCATAATATACATTTTCCATAGTTTTTTGAAGAACTCCGCGTGGATTTTTAAAAAATTTTTGCACCACAACAAACCAATCTTTTTTTTTTTTTAAAGATTTATTTATTTGAGAGGTAGAGTTACAGACAGTGAAAGGGAGAGAAAAAGAGAGAAAGGTCTTCCATCCACTGGTTCACTCCCCAGTTGGCCGTGACAGCTGGAGCTGAGCCAATCCGAAGCCAGGAGCCAGGAGCTTCTTTCTGGTCTCCCACGTGGGTACAGGGGTCCAAGCACTTGGGCCATCTTTTACTGCTTTTCCAGGCCATAGCAGAGAGCTAGATCAGAAGTGGAGCAACCAGAACTAGAACCGGCGGCCATATGGGATGCCGGCGCCGCAGGTGGAGGATTAGCATGCTGCGCCACAGCGCTGCCCTAATAAACCCATCTTTTAATCCCCGTTTTTTTGAACATTTTGAAGTACCCATGTAGATGTAATTTAGATTTAAGACATAGTCATTTTTTCTCTTGACCCTGTTTTTATTTATTTTATTTATTTTTTTAAAAGATTCACTTATTTATTTGAATGGCAGAGTTGGGGGGGGGGGTCTTCCATCCACCGATTCACTCCCCAAATGACTGCAAGGGCCGGAGCTGTGCCCATCCAAAGGCAGGAGCTTCTTCTGGGTCTCCCACGCAGGTGCAGGGGCCCAAGGACATAGGCTATCTTCCACTGCTTTCCCAGGCCATAGCAGAGAGCTGGATCAGAAGTGGAGTAGCCGGGACTTGAACCGGCGCCCATATGGGATGCAGGTGGAGGTGGCTTTACCGGCTATGCCACAGCTCCAAGCCCGACCCTGTTTTTATTTGGTGAATTCTGTAAATTCTTCCATCACAAACATTTTATGGTTTTCCTTTCATGTTATTTCCCCACCACCACTTCATTCTAGTTCAGATCTCTGCCATCAGCATTATTTAATTCTCCTTACTAGTGTCCATTCAGCCTTTATGGCCTATTTTAAAAATAATACATATTTCCATGCCTTTTTTTTTTTTTTTGACAGGCAGAGTGGACAGTGAGAGAGAGAGACAGAGAGAATGGTCTTCCTTTGCCATTGGTTCACCCTCCAATGGCCACTGCGGCTGGCACGCCGCAGCTGGCGCACCACACTGATCTGAAGGCAGGAGCCAGGTGCTTCTCCTGGTCTCCCATGGGGTGCAGGGCCCAAGTACTTGGGCCATCCTCCACTGCACTCCCTGGCCACAGCAGAGAGCTGGCCTGGAAGAGGGACAACTGGGACAGAATCCAGCGCCCCGACCGGGACTAGAACCTGGTGTGCTGGCGCCGCAAGGCAGAGGATTAGCCTATTGAGCCTCGGCGCTGGCCCTCCATGTCTTTTTGAAGGCACTTCAAATCATTCCTGGAATTTCTCTAGAATTTGCTATCTGTAGAATTCATTTGGCATTTCTATGTTCGCTTTTTTCTTGAATGAGTGTCTTGGTTTTCTTAGACAGATGGACAGCCCCTTGATCTGCATGTAGTGTAGCATACTTCTGTATTGATTAAAAATTGTGTAACAGCACACTCAGTAATAAAATTTTCATATTTTTGTTTACAATTGATCTATTACTTATAACATGAATAGATTTTGTACAACATTAAATTTAGAGTTTTACATTTTTAAAAGACTTATTTGTTTATTTGAAAGAGGAGAGGAAAGGCAGAGAGAGAGAGGTCTTCCATCTGTTGGTTCACTCTCCAGTTGGCCACAATGGTTGGAGAGCAGCTTTCCTAGTGCAGGCTGTGTGTCACTGGGGTTAGCAAGGCAGAGAAGACAGGAAAGGGGAGGCCCAGTGTCAGCATGGAGGGCCACATTCCCAGTCCCCCTGGGCAGATGGGCAAGCTGAGGGCTGAGGTGACAGCTTGTGCTGTGGTCACACCTCAGGCTCACACCCAGCCCCCTGCAAGACTCTAAGGAAGGACTTGTGGGCAGTTTGAGCCCAGCCCAGCATCTCAGACACACAAGCCCTGGGGTCGGAGGGCACGGCTGAAGCTGTGCTGATCCGAAGCCAGGAGCTTCTTCTGGGTCTCCCACATGGGTGCAGGGTCCCAAGGACTTGGGCCATCTTCTACTGCTTTCCCAGGCCATAGCAGATAGCTGGATTGGAAGTGGAGCAGCCGGGACTCAAACTGGTGCCCATGGGATGCCAGCACTGCAGGCGGTGGCTTTACCTTCTGTGCCACAGCACCGGCCCCAGAGTTTTACTTTCACATGAATGAAATTTACTGGTATACAATAATGATAATTCATGAAATGACTAGAAACCAGGCTGACATCATTGAATGATTTTGAATTTCCTGGGCAGAGGAAGATTGTGTTAGAATCTCTTGGTTAATAAGCTTTGGGGAAAAATAAGGAGTATTCTGTTAAATAAATCCCTTTTATTTTTCTGTATTTTAAATCTGGACTTACTTATGAAATTTGTTGCAGTGCACACTGCCTGCATTATGTTATTTGTTGCTCCACATTTTATTACTGTAATGAAATACCCAAGACAGGCTAACTTTATAAAGAGATTTGTTGAGCTCTGAGTTTTGGAGGTCAAAAATCCAGAACTTGGCACAGACTCTGGTGAAGGCCCCGCTGCTATGATACCTTGTGACAGATGACAGTGGCGGGAATGCGGGCAGGAGGAGGAAATCACATTGCCAACAGTAAGTGGAGAGAGAGGGAAGGGGTAGGCAGGTTCCCACTTTAATTGACCATGGTGCCTTGAGAAATAGCTTATTCCCTCCTCTGGCATGTACTCTGTTGGCCTAAGAACCTCTCAGTAGGCCCCATTTCTTGAAGATTCCACACCAACTACTGTTACCAACCACCACACTGGGAAACAAGTTCCCAACACATGAGACTTAAGGGGCAAAGCACATACAAACCATAGCAGGGTGGATATTGAGCCTTTTTTTTTTTTTTTTAAAGATTTTTTTTTTGACAGGCAGAGTGGACAGTGAGAGAGAGAGACAGAGAGAAAGGTCTTCCTTTGCCGTTGGTTCACCCTCCAATGGCCGCCGCGGCCGGCGCACCGCGCTGATCCGATGGCAGGAGCCAGGTGCTTTTCCTGGTCTCCCATGGGGTGCAGGGCCCAAGCACCTGGGCCATCCTCCACTGCACTCCCTGGCCACAGCAGAGGACTGGCCTGGAAGAGGGGCAACCGGGACAGAATCCGGCGCCCCGACCGGGACTAGAACCCGGTGTGCCGGCGCCGCAAGGCGGAGGATTAGCCTAGTGAGCCACGGCGCCGGCCGGATATTGAGCCTTTATCATTGATATTTTGATGTAAGTTATATGGATTATATAAGTAACTTAAGGAGCATTTTAAAATAGTTACTTGATATTTCTTAATATGAAAATGCTGAAATCACAGGAAACTATGTTTTCTAATGCTTTAGGTGTCAGCCACTATGAGTAGATTTTGCAAGTATCTTAAATGACTTTATTAAAAGTGCTGTATTATGTTTAATTTCTTTTGTTTATTTTTTAAGCTAATGCTTTTACAAAAAGTAAATAATTGAGTAACAATTAAAATGTTTTATTAGAGAAGGAACTTGAAAAGTTAACAGGATGTATGGCACACCTAAACTTACACTTAAGAAAATCTTCATTTAAAAAGAGTTTTTTTTTTCATTTTTAAAAAATTTTTATTTTATTTTATTTTTTTGACAGGCAGAGTTAGACAGAGAGAGAGAGAGAGACAGAGAGAAAGGTCTTTTTTCTGTTGGTTCACCCCAAAATGGCTGCTACAGCCGGCATGCTGCGCCGATCGGAAGCCAGGAGCCAGGCGCTTATCCCTGGTCTCCCATGCGGGTGCAGGGGCCCAAGTACTTGGGCCATCCTCCAGTGCCTTCCCGGGTCACAGCAGAGAGCTGGACTGGAAGAGGAGCAACCGGGACAGAATCCAGCGCCCCAACTGGGACTAGAACCCAGAGTGCCAGTGCCGCAGGCGGAGGATTAGCCTAGTGAGCCACAGCAATGGCCAAGAGTTGTATTTTTGAGGTGCTTCCTGCGAGATCAGCAACTCATTTGTCTTTTTAATTTTTAAATTAGGAAAATATATTGGAGAGAATTCATTTTCACATAGTGCCAAGCAGAGATGCAGACATGTGTACCTCTAAATCTTGTATCACCCACCAGAAGTTTGCCATGACTCTGTATGAACAGGTGAGGTGACCTAATTATTTTACTGCCTATTATGCTTGTGTTTTATGATTGATAGATTAAACATGTGTTTCTACCTATAGTGTGTGTGTCGTAGCTGTGGAGCATCATCTGACCCTCTACCTTTTACAGAATTTGTGCGGTACATTTCTACAACAGCCCTATGGTAAGAACCTATTAAAGAATATTTACCAAAGATGTTATAACACATGTAAGCACAACAAGTTTCTATAAAACCATAACACATGTAAATTTCCCCTCTGACTTAGGCTAACAGATGCACTGTCATTAGAGGTACTATGAGATGTCTTCCTTAGTTGACTGCTTGTAATATAGCCTAATACAAATTGAGTATCCCTCTTCCAAAATGTTTGGGCCCAAAAGTATTTCAGATATTTTTTGATTTTGGAATGTTTTACATAAATATAATGATACATTTTAGGGATGGGGAGGGAACCCAGGTCTAAACATGAAATCCATATACGTTTCATATACACATTATACACATAGCCTGAAGGTAATAGACAGTATTTTTAGTGTGCCTGAATTTTAACTAAGGTATGTCACGTGAGCTCAGGTGTGACAATTTCCACTTGCAGTGTCATGTCAGTTTCAGATTTTGGAACATTTTGTGTTTCTGATTATGGGTGTTCAACATGTATATGTCATGTAGTGAAATATACAAAATATGAGTTGAAATTTGTATCTATTTATAGCAAGTTTTTAGAACTGCGAAAGGGAGCTTAATATTCATTTTCGTTAAAATGTTCCCTTGGTAATGGCTGTGTTTCCTGTCAGTTACACGTGTCCTTTCATTGTGATAAATTCTAGGATAAACAGAAAAGAAGGATGTGATTGTAACCCTTCAGTTATTATATTTGAGGGCTCAATATTTACCTTAAATAAAATTTGCCATGCTTGCCTGTTTGTTGTTCCTCTCTCATTTCTTTTCTGTCTTAGCTAATTAAGCATCCAAAAATGGTTCTTAGACCTTATAATAAAGATTGCTTGAGCACTTTCCAACAGGTATTTGAGAATAGAAATATTTGATATGTGATAAACATTGAATAAGATCATAAATGTAGAAATTTTAACATAAGAAGATAGAAGTAGATAATTACTAATCAGAATATACTGTGCAACAATATTCTTGTCTGTGTGTAAATTGGATATCATGTTTATCCACTTTATATTATTTAACTTTCTGCCTTTCTTGAATATCACACATTATTTCTTTTTTTTTTTTAAGATTTATTTAATTTATTTGAGAGAGTTAGAGAGAGAGAGAGAGAGAGAGAGAGAATCTTCAACCCAATGGCGCAGATAGAGGGAGAGAATCTTCTACCTGATGGCAGAGAGAGAGGATCTTCCATCTGATGGCTTACTCCCCAAATGGCCACAATGGCTAGGGCTGGGCCAGACTGAAGTCATGATCCAGGACATCTTCCAGGTCTCTTATGTGGGTGCAGGGGCCCAAGAAATTGGTCTATCATTTGTTGCTTTCCCAGGTGCACCAGTAGGGAGCTGGATCAGAAGTGTAGCAGCCGGGAATTGAACTGGTGCCCATATGGGATGCCAGCATCTCAGGCAGTAACTTTACCCCACTATGCCACTACGCCAGTCTTTTTTTTTTTTTTTAATTATTTATTTATTTATTTGAAAGGCAGAGTTACAGAGAGGCAGAAGCAGAGAGAGAGGTCTTCCATCTACTGGTTTACTCCCCAAATGGTGAGAATGGCCGGAGCTGGGCCAATCAGAAGCCAGGAGCCAGGAGCTTCTTCTGGGTCTCTCATGCGGGTGCAGGGGCCCAAGGAGTTAGGCCATTCTCCACTGCTTTCCCAGGCTAGAGCAGAGAGCTGGATTGGAAATAGAGCAACCAGGACTTGAACCAGCGCCCACATGGGATGCTGGCACTGCAGGCGGTGGCCTTACCCGCTACACCACAGCGCTGACCCCTACAACTCCAGTCTTAACACATTATTTCTTAAAGACTATCATTTGGTTATGTTTAATATCTTCTATACATTCACAAAAAACTGGGAAATGTTGATTTAGAGAAATGGTTCCTAAACTGAAGTCAGTTTTCAGTCTTTTTTTCTTATTTTATGAGAAGTGGGATAGGCCATAAATAAAATACTAAAATTTTAACCCTCAACTTTTGTGTTGACAGCACTCCATATCAGGATTGTAGATAATAAGAATTAGATTGTCTGCCTGGTTAACATTACATGTTGCTGTTCGACAGACTTTGAATTCCAATTCTGATACATAAAATTTTTAATATAATATCTATTAGTAATAAGCATCCAATATCAATTATTGAATGCCTACTATGTTCTAGGATTTCTGTAAACTATTGCCTTCCTTCTTGACACAAACTGTATTTTGTTGGTGAAGAGTAGGTTAATGAGATTAATCTGGTAAGTGAAGTTAAGATTGAAACCCAGATCCATCCAAACTCAAAATTGTCTGGTTAGCACTATTCTGATGCTGTCAGTTTTATAAAACCATTAGGTGCAACTTGAGTGAGCTTATCAGATAGAGTGTTCTCTATTAGGCTTGTAAAGTGTTTTAGAAGGGTGCTTTCACTTATCAAGTACCATTGAACTGTAAATTATACCCAGCTCTAGGACGGTTATATCACTATTAAGTAGAACCGGAGCGTCTGAACTGGAAACCAGGAGGGATTTCAGCTTACTTTGCATTCCACTGGAGAAGTGTTTACATAGTTGTTTCAAGATAATACCTTGTGTGAAAATGTGACTCTTGGGGAAGCTGAATAAAATAGCAGTTACCCTGTAGTGTATTAAAAGGCCTTCCTGGGCACTAATAAAATAATTAGGATTCATAATAGGAACAAAAGGCACAGTCTGGGGTAAGTAATTTTGGCTGTGATTTCTGTATTTAATCAGTGAAGGGCCTTTTCCTAGCTGAAATTTTTAACTTTGCTTTGGCAGCTTTGGGCCAGAAAGTAAGCTTTTTCTGTAGTTTTGTTTAAACTAAAGTCCCTACTTAAGATATAGAATAAAAAGAGTGCTTACTGTAAAATTCCCTTGAGACAGAGTGTCATGCCCTGATTCATGTCGTTTCAAACAAAAGTACAAAGGTAAATTAGAAAGTATGTGGAAAAGTAGAATTAAAAAATGAACTTACTGTACAAAAATGTTTAAGTCTGCATCTGAGTGGTCTTCAAAAAGTTCAAAGAAAATATGTATTATGAAAAAACTTTGCATAGATTTTGAAACTTTTTGCACTACACTAAACTTATCTTTTAATACTCATAAACTCTTTGAAGTATCTTATATTCTTAGTGTTATTTTTTTCTATCCTTGGCCAAATTTTTTTGTTCATACAACTGCCAGATTTAAAATGTTTTTACTTTATGAAAATTTACTTTTTTTAAAAAATTATTTATTATTGAGAGGTAGTTACACACAGAGGGAGAGATAAAGAGAAAGACCTTCTATCTGATGGTACGCTCCCTAAATGGCCTCAACTGCCAGAACTGGGCCGATCTGAAGCCACGAGCCAGGAGCTTCTTCCAGGTCTCCCACATGGGTGCAGGGGTCCAAACATTTGGGCCATCCTTGGCTGTTTTTCCCAGGCCATAGCAGAGAGCTGGATCTGAAGAGGAGCAACTAGGATGAGAACCAGCGCTCATATGGGATGCTGGCACCGCAGGCGGAGGCTTAGCCTACTATGCCACAGCTCCGGCTGGAAAATTCACTTCAGGTTACTTTTTCAGGAATATCCATATTTAGATACAAGGCATACCTGTAGTGACAACTTACTATTTTTCTTGTGTACTTTATTAGATCTGTTAAGTTCTGTTAAGTTCATGGGCTACCTTTGGAACTGCTTTATTTATTTATTTTTTTTGTAGCAATGAAGTTGAAAGAATGATGGAAAGGCACGAGCGTTTTAAACCTGAAATGTTTGCAGAACTGCTACAAGCAGCAAATACGACAGATGACTATAGGAAATGCCCTGTAAGTATAATTTGGGGGACAGTAGGGTGCTTCTGTGTTTATAGTTTGAAAGTAGGCATTCAAATATTATTATACAAATAATAATTCTATATAGGAAATTTAAGAATATATTTTCATTTAAAAGATGTACTTACTTATTCTAAAGGCACAGTTACATAGAAAGAGGGTAAGCCTGAGAGAGAGAGAGAGAGAGAGAGATCTTTAATCTACAGTTCTTTCCAAAATGTTCACAAAGACAATGGCTGGGCCAGGCTAGAGCCAGGAGCTAGGATCCAGGATCTCCTCCATCTGTGTCTCCCTGATGGGTATCAGGGGCCCAGAAATAGGCGATCATTTGCTGGTTTCCTCAGTGGATCTGGATTGAAATCAAAGTAGCCAGGACTGAAACTGGTACTCTTACATGGGATGCTGGTGTCGCAAACTTAACCTGCTGTGCCGTGCCAGCCCCATTTTCTTTTTAAAAAATGAATATGATAAATGATTTTTTCATTTAATATTGTTTTTGACTTTAAGGGTTTATTTCTGCTTCCTTTAGGTTAAATTTTTGTCTAACAGGCAAAAATCTCCCCAAATACTTTATAATAAACTTCTTGTTAACAGTTAAGACAAATAGCATGTTGGAAGTCAATTAACAGTATGTTGAAGAAGTAAGTTTCACATATATGTTGGGATTGTCATTGTATAATAAAAACTTGGTACAACTTTGCTGTGGTATATCTGTTTTGATGCTTTTGGAACTTGCCTTTTCTGTTTTTTTTTTTTTTTTTTCTTTCTATAGAGTAACTGTGGCCAAAAAATAAAAATTCGTCGTGTTTTAATGAATTGTCCAGAGATTGTTACAATTGGTTTAGTCTGGGATTCTGAGCATTCTGACTTGACCGAAGATGTTGTTCGGAATCTAGCAACACATCTCTATCTTCCTGGGGTATCTTTCACTGTTTTCATTCATTTCTTCTTTTATTTTTAAATTCTTGTGAAGAGTCCTTATATGTTAAGGTACAATTAGTTAATGCTTTCCAGAGCTAAATTTTCTTTCTAAAGCAGAAATAATGTTTGAATGTATTCTTACACATTTAATCAAATCAAATTGTCCTGCATAGAGTAGAAGTAGCTTTCAGTTACAAGCTAAACTGTCCCCTGACTTTTCCCTCCTTCCTTCTACAATGATGATGATCTGAATATCTGCATAGGATCATGATTATAAATGTAAATGCTAATCTAGAAATATTTAAATTTAAAATTTATTTTCGGCAAGGATCTCTTGATATGATTGGTTATTTTCTGGATATATTTGAATTGGCCCATGTTTCAGTTAAAAATCTAAATAATATAACATTTAGTGCATGTTCAAATATGTGATTTGGGAATTATCAGGACTTTGTCTGAAATTGGGAGTTTATGTCAAGTATCATTCATGTTATTGGAGATATTGTATTACTGAACTGATTTGTAATGAATTATTTCATTGGACTTAAAATTTCTATGAACTAATTGAAAGTAGTAATTCTGTTAACAGTACAATGGTCAGGAATGATTTCAATAATAAAATCATAATCTTGGATTTAGGCAATATACAATGAAAAATTTTTTTTCATAATGAGTCAGATATACAATTCACCAAGTTATTTTTAAAAGATATAACATTAAATGTACACTGTTAATTTTTTAAACAGCTTTTTTATAGGGTTACAGATGAAAATGCCAAAAACAGTGAACTTCACCTTGTTGGTATGATCTGCTACACCAGCCGACATTATTGTGCCTTTGCTTTTCATACCAAGAGTTCCAAATGGGTATTTTTTGATGATGCCAATGTGAAAGAGGTATGTGATATTTCTATAACTGGAGTAATTATTGTGATTTTGCTTTTTTGAATAAATGGCATAATAATATATATATGAAAGATATAATGATGTAAAATAATAAATTAGTAATAGCATCATTCATTAAGTTCAAATTTCCTTATACTGATTTTGGCTTATTTTGACTTTAACTACTAGTAGTCCATTTCTGGAATAATAAAAGATTGATAATAAATACTAGTGTACAAACATGTAACTTTCAGTGATGATCCCTTTTGTCAGATACATAGTCTTATATATATTTCTTTATGAATAATTCACAATTTCCTATATATCACCAACTTGTTAACTAGTCATGAAAACATAATTGCTTTTTTTAAATTAGGACAATCTTCAAATTTTGTGAGTGAAGTTAGAAATGTCTATTATATCTTTTGGTAAATATTTACTCAAAATTAATGTCTAGAAAATTAGTGAATAATGGTTCTTAAGGGGTATCAGAACCACATGTGGAGCTTTGTATAAAACATGTATTTCTGGACTCTTGAATTCTTAATTAAGTAGTGTAGGGGCAAAGTGTCTGAATTTTTAAGTTCCAAAGGAGAATCAGACTTGTCATACTTGAAGATAAAGATATTGACAGTACTGTTTTCAGACTTAGTGGTTTTGAGAGTCCTGTTATTAGCCAGTAAACACAAAATAATTATTTTTTGGTTGTTATAAGCAACTTATGTAGAATTGTGTTTACTTTCACTTTACTTTCTAACAGGCCATTTATCATTAGTGCTGTGATTATTTATACATAGCAATTTCTTAGATAATATTCAGTAAGCACGAACCTTGAAAATGACTGAAAAATTGTACTTCATCAAAACTTAAAATGTTTTCTCTTCAGTAAGTACTCTTAGGAGAATGAAATAACAAGACACAGAAAATATTTGTCAAATATATCTCTAATGAAGACTATTTCTAGAATATTTGAAGAATTTTTACAACACAGTAATAAGGCAATCAAACTCTAAAAATGGACAGTTCAGAGAAGACTATATAGGAATGTACCTTGGGATAGTATTCAACACATTATTAGCCACAAGGGAAATACAAATTTAGTTCACAATGAGATTCTAATTCTCACTTGTTATAATGGCTAAAATTAAAAAACTGACCATGCCAATAGTTGACAAGGATATGGAACAGCTAGACCTCTCACATGAGGCCAGTGAAACTGCAAAAATCAAACACAAATTTTGGAAACCAGTCTGTCAATTTTTTATAAATTTAAACCTATACTTACCATACAACCATACAGTCCAGCAGTTCCCCTCCTGAGAAGACGTATGTCCACATAGAAATTGCACTTGAATGTTCATGGTAGCTTTCTTCGTAGTTAAAACTGGCAAGACCACAGATGTCCATCAACAAGTGAATGGATAAGCAAATTGTGCTGTGCTATCTAGTGGAATATGATACTCATCAATAAAAGGAATGAACTCTTGATTCATGCAGTAATGTAGACGAATCTCAGAAGCATTATGCTAAGTGAAAGAACCAAGCCATAAACAACTAATACTGTGACTCTGTTTATATGGAGTTTTAGAAAATGAAAAAGTTATAGAAAGGAGGTCAGTGTTTTTTTAGGAGCTGAAAAAGGGAGCTTTTCAGATTTTGAGGTGAGGATTACATGACTTTGTAATTTTGTCAGAACTCAATGACTTGTCCATTGTAACTGCATAATTTTATTTTATGTAAATTGCCAGTAAAACCAATGAATACTTTTGATGTCCAAAAATAAACATTTTGCTTAAATTACTTAGTGTTTTGATACTAGGGTTTAAGGAGTTCCATCTTGAGTCAGTGTGTAACATTTGGAGTGTCTACTTTGCATCTACACAGTTTAAATTGTCAAAATTTGTAGGAAGAACTGCATCTGTGAATCTCCCTGTGAGGTGTTTTTGTTTGTTTTTAAACTGGTCCCTCAAGTCTATCTCAGAATCCCAGCTGAATGTGTGTTTGAAAAAGCTCCTCAGGATTTCCTTTTTTAAAAGGCCCTCTCCCTGCAAAACCCGGTATTCAGAATGCTTTGTGATATTTTTGTGTTATTTTCAAAGCAGCTTTGTAGAGGTGTAAAGTGCACCCAGTTTAAGTATGCAATTTGAGTTTTGATGGATGTATACACCTATTTCACTGTACAGTCAGTATATTGAATGTTTTTATCATTCCAGAAGAGTTCTGTTGTGCTCCTTTTTCCTGTCAGTCGGTTTGTCATGTCTTGGGCCCAAGAAATCACTGATCTCACTATAGATTAGTTTTGTCCATTCTACAGTTTTATATAAATGGTCTTTTGCAGTACGTTCTATTCTGTGTCTGGCTTCTTTCCCTTAGCATACTACCTTTAAGATTAATTTGTATTATTTGTATTAGTGCTTCATTTTTGTTGTGTTCCTTTTGATGGCTATACGACAATTTATGCATTTGCCTGTTGAAGAATGAACAATCTTTGTGTGAACATACATTTTTGCCATTGCTCTTAGGTAATGCCCAGAAGTGGAATTTCTTGGTTGTATGGTGTATGTTAAATTGTACAAGAAATTGCCAAATGGATTTCCCCAGTGGTTGATAGAATTCCCGTCAGCAATGTACCAGAGTTCCTGTCATTCCATGGTCCCAGCAGCAGTGTGTTGGCAGTTTTTAATCTGGCCCTTCTAAGTGGGTGCATCATACTGTTTTCACTGTGATTTTAATTTGCATTTCCCTTATGGTTGATAGTGTTTTCAGCATCTCTTCATGTGCTGATTGGAGATTCTTGTATCTTTTTTTGATCAAGTGTTTGTTCAGGTGTTTTGTCAGCTTTTCCAATTGGATAATCATCTTGTTAATGAGTTGTGGCAATCCTTTATTCCATCCAGAAGTCTTCTATTAGATGTATCTTGCTTATTTTTAAAGAATTTTTTCATAGTGTCTTCCCAAGAAAAGAAGTTGTTAGTTAATTTTGATTGAAATCATTTTATAAATTTTGTTTTTCTATGGTTTGTTTCATATCCTGTCTAAAGAATCTTTACCTTCCCCAAGATAGAAAGATTTTTTCTTTTGTTTTCTTCTGTAAGTTTTGTAATTTTTATTTGATTTATTCTGAGTAAATTTTTGTGATTTATTGGTAATAGGGTTGAAATTCTCTTTCTCATCCACTATCTGTTTCAGCATTTGTTGAACTGACTTGCTGGTATTCTTCTTTGAATTGCCTTGGAATCTTTGTCAAAAATCAATCAACCATGTGTGTGGAGAACTTTTTAAAATTTATAATTAAATCTTCATTTAGAAAGTCTATAATTTCTGCCAACCAATTTTTTAAATGATAATGTTTAAGTTGTATGACAATAAATGGGACGGCCAAGAAGAAAACCACCGTACATGGGAAAAATGATGGCTCCATCTCACTGTCTCCTTGGCAGTGGGATTACCAGCTCCTCCACATCTTTGCCAACCAATGGCTGATGGCGTGGCCATCTTTTTATGTATCTATTTTCCACCTGCATATCTTCGTTGAATTCAAACATTTTGCCCATTTTTTTCGGTTATTGCGTTCTTGTTACTGGGTTTTGAGAATTCTTCATGTAGTCAGAAAAGACCCAGATATATGATTGGAAATAGTCTCTCTGAGTCTGTGGCTACTTTCTTACATGTTATAAATAATGACTTTGACAAAGTCACTTTTGATGACATCCAGCATATTAATTTGATTATTTATAATTTTATTTGTGTTTAATTAAAATTATTTGTAATTTTAATGTTACTTTTGACTGATCCAAAATCACAAATACTTCTCATGTATTTTCTTGAAGAAGTACTGTGGTTTCCATCTTTCCTTTAGGTTTATAGTCTATTTTGAGTTAATTTTTGTATATGATGTGAATTAAGGGTCAAAATTAATCTTTTGAAATGATTTATATTTGAAGGCAGAGAAAGACAAATAGAAAGCACTTCTGTTTGCTGGTTTTCTCCCCTGTGCCGCCGACAATGGCCAGAACTGGGCTGGGCCAATGAGTTAGAACTCAGTCAGGTCTCCCTTGGGGGTTGCAGGAGCCCAGTTTCTTGAGCCATCCCTGCTGCCTCCCAGGGTCTGCATTAGCAAGAAGCTGGAGTCAGGAGCCAGAGCCAGATGTTGAACCAAGGTATTCTAGTGTGGGCATGGGCATCTTAACTGCCAGGTAAAACTCCTGTCCCAAATGCATCTTTGTGTGTGTGTGTATGTGTGTGTGTGTTTTAAGATTGTTTATTGGGGCCGGCACTGTGGCGCAGCAAGTTAATGCCCTGGCCTGAAGTGCCGGCCCATATGGGTGCTGTTCAAGACCTGGCTGCTCTACTTCCAATCCCATTCTCTGCTATGGCCTGGGAAAGCAGTAGAAGATGGCCCAAGTCCTTGGGCCCCTGCACCCACATGGGAGTCCTGGAAGAAGCTCCTGGCTCCTGGCTTCAGATCAGTGCAGCTTTGGCCTTTGCGGCCAAATGGGGAGTGAACCAGCGGATGGAAGACCTCTCTCTCTCTCTCTCTCTCTCTCTCTCTCTCTCTCTCTCTCTCTCTTTTCTCTCTGCGTAACTCTTTCAAATAAAATAAAGCTTTTTTTTTTTTTTAAATATTTGTTTATTTATTTGAAAGGCAGAGAGAGAAAGAGGTCTTCCATCCACTGGTTCACTCCCAAATGGCCACAATGGCCAGAACTGGGCATATCTGAAGCCAGGAGCCGGGAGCTTCTTCCGGGTCTCCTGTGTGGGTGCAGGGGCCCAGGGGTTTGGGCCATCTTCTGCTGCTTTGCCAGGCCATAGCAGAGAGCTGGATCAAAGGGGAGCAGCTGGGACTCAAACCCATGCTCACATGACATGCTGGTGTCACAGACGGCTTAATCCTTTGCACAACAATGCCAGCCTCTCTATTCATTTTTTCTGAGGCCAATGCCACACTATCTTGATTACTACAAACTTATAACAAGCTTAGAAGTCATAAAGTGTCTACACATTTTTCAGTCAATATTAAGGTTCCATCCATTTCCATATAATTTGAGAAACATCTATCAGTTTTCACACACAAGCCTGCTCTAGGTTTTCATAAGGTTTACACTGAGTCTAAATTGAGAATTGACATATTAATAATTTTGAGTCTTCTCACCCCCTGAACAAGGCATCTCTCTTTTACATAGGTTTCCTTAAATATCTCTCAAGGTTTTTTGTTGTTGTTGTTGTTGTTGTTGTTGTTGTTGTACAAGTCTTAAATTTTGAGGGCCGATGTTGTTGTTTAGTAGGTAAAAGCTGCCTCCTGCAGTGCCAGCATCCCATGTGGGTGCCAGTTCGGGTCCCAGCTGATCTACTTCCAATCCGGCTCCGTGGAAGTGTGCCTGGGAGGGCAGTAGAGGATGGCCTGGGTGCTTGAGCCTCTGCACTCATGTAGGGGATCTGGAAGAAGCTCCTGGCTTCAGCTTGGCCCAGCACCGGCCATTGTGGCTGCTTGTGGAGTGAACCAATGGATGGGAGATTCTCTCTCTCTTTCTCTCTCTCTTCCTCTCCCTCTCCTTCTCCCTGTTTGTAGCTCTTTCAAATAAACAACCAAATCTTTATTTAAAAAAAAATAAACCTGAAATGTTTTTTACCAGATTTATCCTTAAGTATTTCACATTTTGAAGGCATTGTAAATATTTTCAAATTTCATCCTCCAATTATTTGTTGCTGATATTTAGAAATATCATTGAATGTTGTATATTGATCTTACATCCTGTAACCTTGCAAAATTCCCTGATTAATTTCAGTAGTTTGTGAGGTTTTTGTTTGTTTTAGATCCCATTGGATTGTCTACATATGTGGGCATATCATCTGAAAATAAAGATGCTTTTTCCTTCTTCAAAAAAAAATGATAATGTTTAAAAAACTTATTTACTAAATAAGATTAATCATATCATATGATGGACAATTGAACTGCTACCATCTAAGTGTCTTTAAAACTTTTTTAATTTCAGATCAATTCAGAATCTTTGCCTTTTCGTGTAAACACATTGATTAAGAGGTCTTATTTTATTCTTTATGGTTTTTAAAAAGGTTGGAGCTAGATGGAAAGATGTGGTCTCCAAGTGTATTCGTTGCCACTTCCAGCCACTGCTTTTGTTTTATGCAAACCCAGATGGCACAGCGGTTTCCACTGAAGATGCACTTAGGCAGGTGGTCAGCTGGTCACATTACAAATCCGGTGCAGAAAATATCGGTAATTATTTTAAAATAGCATTTTTTAGTGTTTTTCTATTATAATGAACTAGGAATACTAGTATATTGAATATAAATGAATGTTGAGGATAATGTCAAAATTGAGTTTCATCACAATGGGGTTTAGGGAATTCTGGTACTTCTTGTTATGTTTAGAAAGGGAACTTTCCTTTTCAATGTGAGGATAATGTCAAAATTGAGTTTCAGTACAGTGGAGTTTAGGGAATTCTAGTACATCTTGTTGTGTTTAGAAAGGGACATTTCCTTCTCAGTGAAGTGAGAAACTTCAGGCGTCAGGCACTGTTACACAGCAGAGAAGAGCTTCTTACCTGGGAGCTCTATCAGTGAATACTGAAATTTAAAATGATTTAGTGGGATAGGTGTGGCACAGTGGGTTAAGCTGCATTAGTGATGCCTACATCTCATATGACAGTGCCTGGGGTGGAATCCCATCCCCACTTCCATTCCAGCTTCCTGCTAATGTGCACTCTGCATGCAACAGGCTCAAGTACTTGAGTCTCTGCCAGCCATTTAGGAGTCGATGGAGTTCTTGACTTTGGCCTGGCCAGTTCTGGCTATTGCCAGTATTTGGGCAGTGAACCAACAGATGGAAGCTGCTACTGTCTCTCTGTCTCTCTCTCTCTTATTCTTCTTTTCAAATAAATACAAATAAATAAACTTTAAAAAGTGATTAAGTCACCAGAAAAAGTTCAAAGCAGCTAGACCATTTGGCACTGCATTATTAAGTACATAAATATCCTTAGACAATGTTAATCCTTTTAAGTTTTAAGTAATTTTGTCTGTAGTCTTGAAAGTATCTGAACTATAACTCAAACATTTCCTTTCCTGGTAGTAAGGAAAACAGTGACACACTTTCACTTATTTTTTTTAAGGATGTGAAAAGCCCACAATTTATAAGTCAGATAATTCGAAAGAAAATGGAGTTGGCGACCAGGCCAAACAGAGAGAAAACCAGAAATTTCAAACTGATAATATGTCATCATTTAATCGGAGCCACATTCAGACAAGTGGAGGGAGAGGGCCAGGTATGTGTTTAAGTTGTCTTTTTACATTGTTACTGAACATGATGGCCACTTGCTTTCTTTACTAACTGAATCTGTAATTACTGGAGAGAATTATGAAGAAGGGAGATACTTCACTGGCTGTGTTAGCGACATAGAGAAAATGACAAGTAGATTACCAAATGTCTTTTGATTGATGCATTTCTCTAAGAGCTATAGTTTACCTGACCAGTTTGATTCCCTGAATTGTTTGAATTTCTCATGCACTCAGAGCTGTGGTAGGGCTGAGGCAGTCTACCCAGTAAAAGAAAGATCTGATAAGGCCTTTTTGTCAAGGAGTTAACACACAGCTTGAAAAAGACAAACATATTAATAATTTGGCATATATGCTAAAATTAAGTGGTTATGGGTGAATAGCTCAGAGTTGCTATAATAGTATTTTGTTCTTTTCTTTATTTTTATTCAACCCTGTATTAGATGCCATGACTGTGACTTGAGCCCAAAATGAGGCGTCACAGTGCAGTGTGGAGTTATGGTTTAGAAATACATAAAACTTAGTTGTGTGGATGTTCAGGATGATTTTATTGATAGCTTTGAAATGTTATTAATGAAGTAATATCAGACCATTAAAATGACCCAATGAATCCAGAATGAATAATTATCATCAACAAAGGTTTATAATACAGGCTTTTAAAAAGTCTTACTGAGACTCTCTTTTTCCCTCTCATGAATTCTTGGTACTTGAAGATTAAGACATTTATTGGTTTTTCAAAATACACCTACTTTAAGTCCAGTAATAGTGTGTATGTGGTTGAGAGCACAAGCTTTGGAATCAGAGATGTTGGGCTCATATCCCAGTTCTACATTTACAGGGGATGGGAATGTGGGCAAGTGTCTAGTTTGTCCTTGCCTGAAATGGAGATAGTAATTGTACTTAATTTAAATGAGGATACATTTCGAATAATACCTGGCAAATAATGATCAGCTAGCTTTAGCTCTTGGTATTTAAATGGCAAGTCAGTTTTTTCTCTTTTTATGCTTGCTTTTAGGGCCATGCAAGAAATTTTAAAATAAAACAGTATATGTGCAGCATCAGGAAAAATCATACCGAGTTTTTAGTTAGCATAAAAATGAAGTTCATTGTGTGCTTTAATCTGTGTTTTAAATAAGTAAAACCTTAAAATGTTTATAGAGTTCTGTTTTTACTTTTGTTAAATATTTTGAGAAATGATCTGTAACATTGAAAGAATTTCTTTTACAGTTAAGTTCACTCACAATGATCAAAGGGAAAAGATAAGAGACATTTCCTAGAGAATGTGCACTGAAAGCCATTGAACAGAAAAATTCACTTTCTCCACAAAGGAGAGATTTAGAGAAAGGACAAAGAAAAGATTTAGGCCGGCATAAAGGTAAGTGAAGAGCTTAGAGCATTCATTTAAAAAGAGACTACTAAAAATTTTACTTTAAAATTGAGTGTCATAACATTAAACTTAATTTCTATGTGTTTATGTATATCTATATGTTTGTTAGTGTGAGTTCTTTATTACACCTAAACTAAACCTAAAAATGCAGAGTATTCCTGATTTTACATAATTGTAGCCTGAGAGACTAGTGTTTTGTGTTTTGATTTTTTTAACTTTTATTTATAAATGTCCTTCACTCATGTGGAATATTCAAATAATAAGGGGGGGTTATACAAAAAGTGACAGGGCTTCTTTCCCTGAAATCTCTCACCTTCGTGTGACCTCAGTTACTAGTTTCCAAGTCGTTATAAGCATGTCTTACTTTCTGTGCATTTTTACTCTTCTTTTTCTTATGGCATAGTTGGACTCTAGAGACAGGTATCTGCTGCAGTGATGTCCCTCTACATCTCCAGGTGTATTTTTTGGGTATAGCCATAGCACAAAGTCATTTCGGAGGAAGTGCTGGGTCAGGGTATGTTTATTTTTAATTTTGACAGATGTGATGTGTCTCAGTTGCCTTCTGAATGGCTGCTGCACCACCAGTGAGTGGATGTCTGTTTCTTCACTCGCAGCAGCAATTGCTTTAATGCATGTTTAAGTCTTTACCAGTATATTTGGTGACAAATATTTCTCTGATTTTTGTAAATTGATCTAGAATGCTTTTTTTCAAAAAACTGTTTGAATTATCTGCCTCTTAGATAATTTTAAAAAGTCTGTTTCTTTTATAAAGGCCTCATTAGCATAAATGGGGACTGAAGAAGCACTTTTTCTCCAAGTGTGCAATATAATTACTTACTATTTTCCAGTGATTGCTTTACCTTTCTTCTCAAACAAGATATTTGTCTTGTGATTAAAAAGTGACTCTAAAGAGTTGTTTATTTGTAACTTTAATTATTAAACTGTGTTTTTTTTAAAGATTTGGTTGATGAAGACCTGTCACATTTCAAATCTGGATCACCTCCTGCTCCAAATGGCTTTAGACAATATGGAAATCCACATCTGTATCATAGTCAAGGAAAAGGACCGTGTAAACATGACCGAGTTACCCATCATGGTCGAGCTGCGCAAGTAATAAGTTCAAGTAAATCCCAGATTCTTGCTCCAGGAGAGAAAGTGACTGGCAAAGTCAAGGCTGACAGTGGCACTGGATATGATACAGACAGCAGCCAGGATTCGAGGGATAAAGGAAGCAGCTGTAATAGCAGCAGTAAAAACCGGAACCGAGGTTGGAAACCTATGAGAGAAACATTAAATGTTGACAGTGTTTTTAGTGAAAGTGAAAAAAGGCAGCACAGTCCAAGACATAAATCAAATATCAGTAACAAAGTTAAATGTAGCAAAGACCAGAATTTTAGTAATTGGCCAAAAGAGAATCCGAAACAGAAAGGTTTAATGACCATTTATGAAGATGAAATGAAGCAGGAAATAGGAAGCAGAAGTTCCCTGGACTCTAATGGAAAAGGAATGGAGAAAAATAGAGGCTTTGTAGAGAGTAAAATTCATGGTGACAATTGGCAGATACAAAGGACGGAGTCTGGATACGAAAGCAGTGATCACATCAGTAATGGATCTACTAATTTGGACTCACCTGTTATTGATGGACATGGTACTATAATGGAGAACAGTGGTGTTAAAGAAATAGTATCCTTAAGGTAATACATAAAGTGAATGAATGATACTCTCTCTACCATCCTCTCTTGTAAATTGCAGTAATTTTTAGAGTTTGGGGTCAGTTAACTGCAATAGAAACCACATTTTTATTTGATATTTCAGATTTTAATTTTAATAGTTATTTTCTGATTCCAGAAATAACAAGTTATTTTTAGGAAAGTTTAAAATAAATATATTACCATTGTTTTCACCACTGTTATTTATTGATTTGTACTATAGATTTTTCTTTTTTAAAAGATTTTATTTATGGGTTCAGTGCTGTGGTGTAGCAGGTAAAGCCATTGCCTGAGGCACGGGCATCCCATGTGGGCCCCAGTTTCAGTCCTGGCTGCTCTACTTTTGATCCAGCTCTTTGCTAAGGCCTGGGAAAGCAGTGGAGGATGGCCCAAGGCTTTGGGTCCCTGCACCTGTGTGGGAGACCTTGGATGAAGCTCCTGGCTCCTGGCTTCGGTTTGGCTCAGCTCTGGCCACTGTGGCCATTTCGGGAGTGAACTAGCGGATGGAAGACCTCTCTGTGTCTCTCTCTGCCTCTGCCTCTCTGCCTCTGCCTTTCAAATAAGATCTTTAAAAAAAAAAAAAAAGATTTTACTTATTTATTTGAGAGGTAGAGTTAGAGACAAAGAGATGAAGAGACAGAGAGAAAGGTCTTCCATCCACTGGGTAACTCCCCAAATGGCCGCAATGGCCAGAGCTGGGCCAGTCTGAAGCCAGGAGCCAGGGGCTTCTTCTGGGTCTCCCACATGGGTGCAGAGACCCAAGCACTTGGCCATCTTCAACTGCTTTCCCAGGCCATAGTAGAGAGCTGAATCGGAAGAGGAGCAGGTGGAACTAGAACCATCATTCATGTGGGATGCTGGCGTCGCAGGAGGAGGCTTAGCCCACTTTGCTTTAAAGCATAGACTTAAATTGGCTGCATCTCAGTCACTAAGTTGATTGTTTAACTTTTCAGTCTGTGTGATTACTCATCATATCTCTGACATGTGCAATTCGATTTGAGCTGTATTTTTCCCTTTAATGATATAAAAGAATTTAGTTGAATAACTAAGATCATGTTTAAGTTAATTAATTCTGAATGTGTACATTTATTATATTAGTAGTAGTACAGTCACACTTGTCAGTGTAATTTTTTTAAAGATTTATTTATTTATTTGAGAGGCAGAGTTACAGAGAAGGGGAAAGATAGAGAGATCTTCCAGTCCACTGGTTCATTCCCTTCATGGCTGGAGCAGCTGATGCTGGGCTGATTTGAAGCCAGGAGCTAGGAGCTTCTGGGTCTCCTGTGTGGGAGCAGGGGCCCAAGCACTTGGGCATCTTCCACTGCTTTCCCAGGCCACAACAGAGAGCTGGATCAGAAGTGGAGCAGCTGAGACACGAATGGACACACACATGGGATGCTGGCACCGCAGGCAGAGGCTTAACATACTACGCCATAACACTTGTCCCAGTAATTATGTTTTAAAAGTTTTATTTGAGCCGGCGCCGCGGCTCACTAGGCTAATCCTCCGCCTTGCGGCGCTGGCACACCGGGTTCTAGTCCCGGTCGGGGTGCTGGATTCTTTCCCGGTTGCCCCTCTTCCAGGCCAGCTCTCTGCTGTGGCCAGGGAGTGCAGTGGAGGATGGCCCAAGTCCTTGGGCCCTGTACCCCATGGGAGACCAGGGGTACCTGGCTCCCGGCTTCGGATCAGTGCTGTGCGCCGGCTGCTGCTGCGGCCATTGAAGGGGTGAACCAACGGCAAAGGAAGACCTTTCTCTCTCTCTCTCTCTCTCACTGTCCACTCTGCCTGTAAAAAAAAAAAAAAAAAAAAAAGTTTTATTTTGAAAGGTAGAAGACAGAGCACATGATTATTATGTCGACTGACTCACTCTGCAAATGCCTGCAAAAGCCAGGGCTGGACCAGGCTGAAAACAGGAGCCTGGAACTTCATTCAGGTCTCCCATGGGGGTGGTAAAGACCCAAGTACTTGAGAAATCATCTGCTGCCACCCAGGTTGGGCATTAACAGGAAGTCAGATTAAAAGTGGAGGGAGGTGGGGCCGCCACTGTGGCATAGCGGGTAAGCTGCCAACTGTAGTGCTGGCATCCCATACGGGTGCTGGTTCAAGTCCTGGCTTCTCCACATCTGATCCAGCTCTCTGCTATGGCCTAGGAAAGCAGTAGAAGGTGGCCCAAGTGCTTGAGACCCTGCACCTGCATGGGAGACCTGGAAGAAGCTTGGATTGGGCCAGTTTTAAACCATTGCGGCCATCTGGGAGTGAACCAGCGGATGGAAGACCTCTCTCTGTCTCTCTGTCTCTCTCTGCCTCTCTCTTTCAAATAAATAAATAAATCTTAAAAAAAAAAAAAAAAAAAAAAAAAAAGCTTCTGAAGCCAGGTCCTTTTGCCTTATGCTTACAGGCCACTTTAAGAAAAAAGTGGAGGTGGGACCCAAACCCGGACTCTGAGATAGAGAAGCCGACATCCCAAGTGGCAGCTTAATGGCTGCAGTTCAACACCTGCCCCTTCTCTGTATTATTCTACAACATGCCCACGGCTTAGTGACTGATTTCTCAAGTCAGTCTAACCTCTTTTTCTGCTTTTAATCCTTCTAGAATATCTTAATTTGATATTAGCTGTGTCTGACCACATTCATTATTAAGCTAGATTTTCAAAAATCAGCTGCTCATATTTTATTAAAATAATTGTTTCAACAAGAACTCAAGGAAACTCTTTTACTTGGCAAGACAATTTCATAACACTTCTTGGAAAAAGTAGCCTAGGGTAGTAGAAAAATCAGGGCTTGATAACCATAACCAAATAGACTTGAATTTTCATTATCAAGCAAATTAATTAGACTTTACAACCTTAATATCCCAATGCAAAATGAAGACCATAACTACTTGTAAGCACTGAGAGCTATAAATTAAATAATGTACATTAAGCCGTATGGCATAGATTAGTTGTTTAGTGAGTATTAATTTCTTTTCTTTCTCTAAAAAATAAACTAAGATAATCCATGATAACTGATATGTTTGTTGTGTGTTTTATTTTCTAGTGATCAGCTTAAGATGAGTAACTCAAATTTAGAACACATGGACTGTAACTCCCATCAGAATAAAAACCACATAGGAGGTAAGCATTTCACTTAAATATAATCGTTGCAGTAAAGAATAGATTGCAATAATTTATTGTTTGCTGTTTTTGACACTAACTAAGAGGAAATCCTATATGGCTATAGAAATTATTAAAAGTAACTTTGAAATATCAATGAACAAATCATTTAAATTAATGTATAAAAGCATATTCTAATAAAGATAGTTGAAAGAAGGCAATCAGCATTTGTTTTTGTATGTATATTGTCTGTGCATGCTATGTTTTTCTCATATTCTTCAAAGTATTATGTATGACTTTGATTAGCTAAATATGCTTTTCAATTTTGTAGTCTTTTTTTTATTATTTTATTTATTTGAAAGGCAGAGTTAGAAGGAATGACAGAGAAACAGAGTGAGTGAGAGAGAGAGAGAGGAGAGTGAGGAGAAATATGTTACATCTGCTCGTTCACATCCCAAAATGGCCACAATGTTGGGAGTGGGCCTGGCAGAAGCCAGGAGCCTGGAACCCCATCTGGGTTTCTCATGTAGTGGCAGGAGCTCAAGCACTTGGGCCATCTTTCTCTGCTTTCTCATGCACAATAGCAGGGAGCTGGACAGGAGGTGGGTTGAACCAGCATCCACATTGGATGTTGGCATCACAAGTGGTGGCTCAACCCCTTGTGCTACAATCAATGCCAGCTCTTTTGCAGTCTACTTGCAAGGATGGTGGGAAAGTGCAGTTTTGTAGATGCCTGGAAATGTATGTGTAAACAGCTTTAATGACTACTTTATGAATTAAGAACAAAAAAAAATCGATAAAAAGCTTTCTGGGAAAGTTCAGTTTGGAAACATAAATAATGTAGTGTATGGCATTTTTCTAGGTGATTTGTTAGCAAACCAGAGCCAGCCAGAAGCAAGAACAGATATTTGAACTTGTACAGCTTTCAGGATTGCTACTGGAGAACATATCTGAAGGATCTGGGGAAAGAGAGATCAAAGAAAGTGATGAGCGAGGCAGTTATTGATGTTGCAGCCAGGCAGTGTGTTCCGATTTTAGAATTCAGAGGGAAAAGAGGCATATAATTTTTCACAATAAGAAATCACCACAAACAACAAATTTTAAAGTCTTTTAGTCTCTATCGTCCTTAAGACTTTTGTGGAGATTATTTTCAGGTTGCAGACATTGAACATGATTAATTGGTAAATTATTTTGTTTTCATCAAATTTAATATCAGAAGGAAACATTTATATTAAGGAAATAACTTTCCTTTCCCATATTAAAACGTCTCGCCTGTTTAAAAGATCTGATAAAAGTCTGGTAACCAAGTATTACAGG